ACTGTCTCTGCCCTGAGATTCGCTTACCTAGATGGAATACTCCCTGCCTCTTTTTTTTTTTTTTTTTTTTTTTTTTTTTTGGTTTTTCGAGACAGGGTTTCTCTGTGTAGTCCTGACTGTCGTGGAACTCACTCTGTAGACCAGGCTGGCCTCGAACTCAGAAATCCGCCTGCCTCTGCCTCCCAAGTGCTGGGATTAAAGGCTCTCCCTGCCTCTTGAGTTATTAGGTAATCAGTTTCAGAGAAAAAGCTTACTTGAATGCATGACTATGGCTTTTGCTTTTACACTGCCATTTAATGCAATGGCATTAATGTTTTCCTTAGATCTCACTGTACGCTAGTGTTGCCTACAGTAAATGGACAGGAGAATTTGAAAAAAAGTAGCCTATGATAGAATACAAGTAAATAAAAGCCTAATGGTAGGAAAATGGGGAGCAGGGTCAGTTAGGTGTCACAGGTGGTGTCTGCATGTGAAGCAGGCAGGTGAACTTTCAGGTGCCAGGGTTGAATCCTGTCAAGAGTGGATCCTGGAGAACTCTCTTAGGTGGAGGGTGCAGGTGAGAGCCACTGCGGTCTGGCTAGGAGTCTGCCATACAATGTTATTCCTAATGGGCCTCCAGGAAGCTGGAAGGAATAGCGGGTATGAACAGTGAATGCCAGTGGTATAAGAGAAAGTCTGTGGCTACAACACTATGCATCACCCATAAGTGTTGCCACCTTGGTTGGTCACGTGACATCACGTCTTTGTTGGCCATGTGACCAGCTAGATGCCTATGGGTGATAGGCAGCTCCATGTGTATATTACTCTTTGGGAGGATATCTTACAGGTTGGCTGGGGTCCATGTGGATTCCTGTGAACCTCCATGTTTAAAGATGGACTCTTCCAGATAAACACTTATCAGTTTAATCTTAGAAAATGCTTCTATTAGATTGACCTATAGGCAAATCTGTGGAACATTTTCTTGGTTGATGATTGATGTGGGATGGCCCAGTCCACCATGGGGGTGCCATCTCTGGGCAAGTGGTCCTAAGTTGTATAAGAAAAACAGGCTGAGTAAGTGATGAGGAATAAGCAGGTAAGCAGTGTTCCTCCATGGCTTCTGCTTCAGTTCCTGCCTTCAAGTTCCTGCTTTGACTTTTCTCAATGATGAACTGTGTGTGATTGGGAAATGTAAGCCAAAAAAAGCTTTATGTTCATGTTGGTTTTGGTTATGGTCTTTATTATATCATTAGGAACCAAACCTGGGCACGTTAGAAGGAAAAGATTAAAAAAGAGTGTTTGAATATGGATTCCCCAGGTTTTGATCAGACATTCCATGGGAACTTCCCATCATTTCCTTGTGTTTGAGGAAGGAAAGAGTTGTGCTGTGGTTGGTAATCTTAAGGATGAGAGCATTTGAAAGCCTTTCCTGCTTCTCTCCTAGCTGCCTGATTGACAGTGGTAATAGGTGCACATCTGAGTTCTGAGCACAGCTGCTAAAATTGTCAGGTTCTTGTGTCTGAAAACAGTGATTTGGACAAAGACACATGGAATGAGAAAAGATGGTTCATTAGATGAGAGAAACAAATGAACTTGGAAATATAGTACAGCTAGGTGAGGTCCAGGTCCCAGGAAGAGATCAAGTTGGGCCTCTGTTACCATTAATGGGTCACTTAAATATCATGCACCTTTTCTGACGATATGGTTTTTATTACATATATATCTAGTGTCCAGGAACGTGTCCACTTTTCCCTTAATATTGGCTGCTTTCATGTGTTTACCCTGGTGCCTGTGGGATCTGATCCTATCCTCAGTTATGCATCATGTCAATTCACAGGATTCCTGCTGCTGGGCAACAGTTGCACTGTAGTGATACTTACTATCAGTTCCTTTGCTGCTTGATGTCACCAAATTCCTTTCAAGAAACAACTTAATGGAGAGCTTATTTCACTAGCCTTACAGAATAAGAAGGAATCCAGTCCATTATGTTACAGAAGACGAGGCTGCAGGTGCATGAGACAGGCAGCTGGTCACACTGTCTACAGTCAGGAGGCAGAGAGCCATGCTATTAAACATCAAGACACACCTAGTGACATCCTTCCTCCAGTAAGGCTCTACTTCCTAAAGTTTTCCAACCTTTCAACAGCACAAGAAGTTGGGAACCAGGTGTCTAAACACATGATCTTCTGAGGCACATTTCATATTCAAACCATGGCATTCTATTCTTGGCCATCTTATAGTGTAAGATGGATTTGCTCCAACGTCAAAAGTCCTCATGAGTGCTCATGATTACTCATTGACTTAAAGCACATTCAGTGTAAGCCTAAAGACCTGAGTTTAATCCGAGGAATTTACGGTGAGAAAAGATAACCAACTTCTAGTTGTCTACTGACCTTTACATACACACACACACATACACACACACACAAACACACATACACATACATGCACACATACACACACATACACACACACACAAACATACACACACATATACACTCACATACACACACACATATACACTCACATACACACACACATATACACATACACATACACACACACACAAACATACACACAAACATACACTCACATACACACACACATACACACACATAGATACACACTCACATACACACACACATACACACACATACACACACATACACATACACACACACACACACACACACACACACACACACACACAAGCATACACTTTCTTCTTGCTCAGGGATCTGCAGTTTCCCAACACCTGCCTGCTGACACAGTCTGCTGACTCCTAACTAAACTGACTTCCCACTTCCCAGCCATTAGACCTTGTTTACCTCTGTTGCGTTGTAGATCACCTTTCTCAAATTTCCCTGACCATTTACTGTAGACCGCACACTAACTTAAGGATATGGAGACAATTTCCCAGGTAACAAGACATCACTACAGAAACTGGCAGCATGACCACTGAATGATATGGTTAAAGGCGAAGTTTTTATTATAGATTTGAGGGAGAGAACAGCCAGAGGCATCTGGAAGAATCCAGAGCAGAGGGAGAAAGTGGCAGATTGAACATAGCCAGCAGACTGGACCTGGTCAGGAGACAAGCAAAAGCAGAGCAGTGAGGGAGACAGAGTAGGAGTGAAGGAGACTGAGAGGAGGGCCAAGCACAGGCAAAAGAGGGAGCATAGCCAAAAGAGCCCAGTTATAAGGAGAATGAGTACCTGGAGGGAGAGAAGCTCCTGAGCTGAGGAAGTTGAGGATGGAGAAGGAGAAGAGAAGATCTTTCCTATTGGACTCTGAAATGCCTAATAGGCACTTGTGGTACTGAGGGAGCCTGGAGGCTACTGTGTGATTTGTTATACTGATAAACACCACAGAGAGCCGTTTGTCCTTCTGCCAGTGATAAGGGAAATGGTTCCTTTTGGTAGAGGGGAACTGGCTTCAAAATTCCTAAGAATGCTTGCTTTTGTTTAACCACTAGAATTTGGGCAAATGAAGTTTCCTCTGGAATTGATAATCACCTTAAAGTTGGGGCCTAAGGAAAAAAATAGCCCTGCATTTACACAGCAATAATAAATAGAGTTTAAAATTTAAAAGTCCCCATGAGGCAGGAGAATAGGGTGGAGAGTCCCAAGAATATTTATGTTTTAGGTCATGACTTATTTAGCCAAAGAACACCAATCTGTGAGCAAGTTGTTTGTCCTTTGGGTCAGCCTTGGTTGGTTGAGAAAAAGCAGAACAACCCACTGAAACCCAGCTTTACTACTTTTAGTGGCTTCCCACCCATTGATAGACTAAAGATTACTTACGAGCTGAAGAAGCAAGATAACACTTATTCTTTTTGCTTAGTTTTTGTGTGAAGGGTTCTCTTATAAGTGTATTGTGAATCTCTTACTTGGTGATGTTTATAATAAGGTTGAAAAAATTTTTATTACACACTGTAAGTAAGGGTCCATAATTCACCAAAGAATGATACTCAGGACTCAAATTGTATGTAAACGCAGGGAGTGTTTTATTCTGCAGAAGTCTAGCATGCTAGGGTCTCCCATTACCAAGATAGAAAGACAACCAAGTGTGCTCACAGGCCACCAACTGTGCTGGAAGGTATGATTTAAAACACATTAGGTGACCCTTATCTTACTCCATCTCTAGGGACATTCCATTATCGGGGTGTGGGGGCTGGAAACCATTGCTGACAAAGTAGCTGAGGAAGTCTGGAAACTGCTGCTGACCCATTGTCCTTGCCTTATTAGGCCAGGTGGCAGGGCAGCTTCTGAGGCCCGGACTTGCCTTGGATTGCCCAGTTCTTAGAAACAGAGATTTAGGCCTAGTCTTCTTAACTGCCAATTTGAAGCCTGTCATGGAATCAGCCTAGCCTTCTCAACACGTGTGTGGCAGTGGTGGTGGCGGTGGCGGTGGTGGTGGTGGTCATGTACTTTTGTCTTCAGAGACTGGACTAGAGTTACAGACAGTTGTGAGCTGCCTGTTGTGGGTGGTGGTGGAATGTCATGTACTTGTGTCTTCAGAGACTGGACCAGAGTTACAGACAATTGTGAGCTGCCTGTTGTGGGTGGTGGTGGAATGTCATGTACTTGTGTCTTCAGAGACTGGACTAGAGTTACAGACAGTTGTGAGCTGCCTGTTGTGGGTGTTAGGGATTACACTTGGGTCTTCTGCAAGAGTAGTAAGTGTTCTTAATTTCTGGGGCCTCTCTCCAGCACTCACATACTGTTTATAAACCTTCTTCCTAAGGCTGGAGACATGCCTCAGTTAGTAAGAATGCTTGCTGTGCAATTGCTGAGGCTCTGAATTCATATCCTAGTACCCATGTAGAAATCTAGGAATGTGTCATGAGTATCTGTAACTCCAGAGCACAGACAGGTAAATCAGTACGAGTTGATGGCCACCAGCCTGCCAAGTCCCTATAGACATGTATATATACATCACACACACACACACACACACACACACACACACACTACTAAATAAGCCTGCTTTCTTGATATTCTTCTCACTTGTTTTTATAGGTACTTCCTACTTAACAGACATCGTGTGGTGGGCTGGCACAATTGCAAGTAAGTGGTTTGTATAGTAGGTTGCAGTCTTCTTATTTTTTTTCTAAAGTCATCACATGGTTGGCAGTGGAGAGGACAAGATGAGTGTGGTTTTGAAGGTCTTCCCATTCTTCCACTCTCTGCACTTCAGATTCACTCTCTCTTCCTGTTGTCCTTCCCTTTGCTGAAAGAGAGTAGATGGGAAAGTGTGGAATGCTGACCTAAGTGAAGGAGGCAGAGGCTCCAGCTGCACTTCACATGCTCTAACTTAAATAATAAACTATAATTTTTAAAAAAAATCACATGGTTTGTCACATATTGCCTTTCAAGCAAAATGCTACCTCTATGAGGGTGATTATGTTCACTGGGGAACCCTCTTTTAAGCTCTGTTTGAGTAGCATACCTGGGAATCCTGTATGACACAGCTGGACGCTTTCTCACACTGACCAGGTCCAAGGTCACTTGAAGGCTGTTGGGAAGCTCTGCCCAACTTGTCTAGGAAAGATTGGTCATTGGGTATAAAGTGGCAGTCAAAAACAGTGTGGTACCTTGGGTACTACAATAGCGTGTACAGAAACTACTATGTATATCATAAAAATAGTTTAAAATATTTTGAGTGTTGGCACCATAAAGCAATGAAAAATCTTGGCACACATGCATGTGCCCAAGTATTACATGGTACCCATGTACTACTTTTATGTTACATTTTGGCCATAAATAAATAAATAAGTTTAAAAGGTAAAAATTAAAATATTTTAAGATAGAATTTAAAGAGTGTGACTATATTCAGTGTTGTGCTTGTTGCTGTGATAACGCTGGCTGTTTCCACAGAGAGTGGAGACCGCTTCCTTAGACCAGTGAAGTTCTGTGATTGGGGTCTGTGAGCATGTAGATTTGCTTCTCAGAAGTGGTACAAAAGAAGCCCTTTTAGAACAGAATCTTGCAAAATCTTGATTGATAATAAAAAGGGGACTTTGTAATGTAACCTTGTGGTTCTCTTGACAGTGGCTGTTGGCCAGATTGGAAACTTCCTGGCTTACACTGCAGTTCCTACAGTCCTGGTGACTCCCTTGGGTGCCCTTGGAGTACCGTTTGGGTGAGAACTGACATTCTGTTTTGATATTTAATATTCAGTTTACATAGGAAAAAACTCTTTCATTATAAATATTTCTGTTTGCAAATTAGTTGATGAAGGTAGATCTTTTGTACTTAGAATTCATATTTTCATTTTAACCCTGTCAATCAATGTATTTCTGTATGTTGCTGATGCTTCTCTTAGATCTCATTTTATTGTGTTTCGATTTCTAGCTTGTTCACAGCTATCAGTGAATCCACTGCTGTTTACTCTCTGCTGGGCTTTGCTCTGGAAAACTTCTTAGAACCTAGAGTCTTCCTCATACCACAGCGTGTTATTCTCCGAAATCTTTCTGTAAAATGTCAGCTTGTGTTTTATGTGGCTGCATCCTCTGCTAGACTGGCATTCTCCCACCTCATTCCAGTAAGCTACAGAAGCTGGGCACATGACATGTGGGCATCAGTGCATGTGGATGAGGGTTTGTCATCGCAGTCCGGCAGATGGATTCTGAGTGATGAGCAGGAACACTGGGCTTTACTCTGTCCGACTGATCCAGTCCAAACAGGAACTTACATGCTCAACTTTGTGGTTTGAAATATCTGCCTGTCACAAAGAATCAGGGCTCCAGGGACCAGGTATATGAGCAGGCTGACTCTGCCATTACCGAAATGTGGAGAGGAATAAAGATTTAGAGTGACAGCTGTCAAAAATCACCCTCTTGCCGGGCGGTGGTTGCGCACGCCTTTAATCCCAGCACTTGGGAGGCAGAGGCAGGCGGATTTCTGAGTTCGAGGCCAGCCTGGTCTACAGAGTGAGTTCCAGGACAGCCAGAGCTACAGAGAAACCCTGTCTCGGAAAAAAAAAAAAAAAAAAAAAAATCACCCTCTTTATTAGCTTGGTCACCTAGGTCATTTTCTCTTACTGTAACAAAATGGTTAGGAATGGAATTTTTTTTAAGAAACAGGGTTTTAATTTTGGTTCATAATTCTAGAGGCTACAAAGTACAAGATTGGGCACCCCCCCTTTTTTTCTTTTTTCTTTTTCTTTTTCTTTTTTTTTTTTTGAGATGTAGCCCTGGCTATCCTGGAACTTATTATGTAGACCAGGCTGTTCTTGAGGTGCTCTGTTTCTACCTCTAAGGTGCTAAGATTAAAGTTACATAGCACCACATCTAGATAAACATTTATTTATTTATTTAATCTATTTTATTTTATTTGGTTTTTAAAAATAATTCTTTTTTATTTTTAATTATGTGTATATGTGTGGTCTGTGTGTGGATATGTGTACATGTAAGTGCAGGTGCCCTGGAAGTCCAGAAGAGGACATTGGATCACTTGGAGTTAGAGGTATAGGCTGTCATGAACTGCCTGATGTCAGTGCTGATGTCAGAACACAGAACTGAACTTGTGTTCTCTGGACAAACTGCATGTGCTCTTACCAACTGAGCTGTGTCTCTCCAGTCCCAGGCAACCCCATTTGTGAGGCTCAAACTCTGCCAAGGGGACCACCCAAAGAGAACTCCCACATTATGACAGTTGATTCCATGGCAACAAATCCAGTCCTGTGAGGGCTGCATTAATCTCAAGCTTTCCCTTCCTTCTTCCCTCCCTCTCTCCCCTCCCCCTTTCTTTTTTTCTGAGACAGGGTTTCTCTGTGTAGCTCTGACTGTCTGGGAACTCTCTCTGTAAACCAAGTTGGCCTCAAACTCAACAAAGATCCACCTGCCTTGACTCTTGAGTGCTGGGATTAAAGACTTGAGCCACCCTCACCTGGTTCAGTAATCGCTTTTAGTGATGTGATCACCTTTTAAAACTGCAAATCAAATGTCAACATTAGTTTTTGTGGGGACAAACTGCATCCAAACACTTGGCTTACTAGAAAATGTTTTTATAAGAACTTTACTGACTATATCAACGTAGCCTGCTACAGAAGTAAGAGCTGTTTCATCTCGTGTGTATGTTGGCTGCAGCTTTATTGCAGACAGACTTCCATCCTTACAGAGAAGAGTGTGATAAATGTATTTCTTTACCTTAAATTCCCTTTAAAATTGTGTGGTCTAGCGGCTGGAGTGGAGGCTCAGTGGTTAAGAGCACTTCTCGTCCTTTCAGAATATTTGAATTCAGTTCTGAACAGCATACCAACACTGCGGCTCAGAACCACCTGTAACTCCAGTTTCATGGTGCCTTTAGCCCTGTTCTGCTGACTGATGACACTGCACTCACACGGTGCTTAGGCATACAGTCAGGCAAACATTCATACACATAAAATAAAAATAAAGTCTCGAAAAAATTCCACAGTCTAAAAACCTCAACTCCTTTTTTCACTTGTTACTATGAAAATAGGTTTCTATCCCACTGTTCTTATCCAAACATGTGCTTGGTATTAATGTTGCTTGATGTCTCTTTGTATTTTGGGTACCCCTGAAACTCTGGTGGGGGCAGGAATGGTGCTTATGCCTGGAACCACTCTTCAGCTTTCCCAGTTTGTTCCCATGGAAGATAAGCTGATGTCATGATCTTTGAACATGGCGCATGTAATATGGAAGCCAACCCTCATACCTTTTATACTTAAGTAACCCACTGCTCCAGTTTTTCAAGAGGTGCTATTCACCCAGTGAAGTATAGGACTTTTTTCCTACTGTGGTTTTACTGATCAAACAGAATTATGTGCATGCTTCCAGCAATACACTATTGAGCTTTAAAAAAAATAGATAAGTCAAGGTAAATCGGAAAAAAAGCAGAGATGGCAAAGTATGTATGTGTATGGATTATGAGAAGTTCTGTTGATGATGAGTGAATTGCTGAATGTATAAAGAATACAAAAGAATGTCGAAAGAAAATCACTCTATTTGTCTGAGTAGAACAGAGAACCCTGTCAAATAGGTCCAATTTAATATGCAACAATTTAATATATATAAAGTAATCATCACAATATACTTTGACAGAGGTTATTTTATTTTTTTAGTTTTTTGTTTGTTTTTATTGGATATTTGATTTATTTACATTTCAGATTCCATCCCCTTTCCCATTTCCCCTCCCAAGAAATCCCCTATCCCACTTTCCCCTCCTTTTTGCTTTTATACCATTTCAATTACATGCAAGTATTAAGGTCAGTTCTAGGTTGAGGAAGGACCTAGCAGTCCAATAGATGCAAATAGTCAAGGAACAAGCAAGACAATAAACACAAATAGTCAAAGAATAAGCAAGGCAATAAACAAAATACTGTGAACACTCCCATGACCACTGTTTCTAAGGGCTTATCAGGATGACCAAAATATCTGGACCTACTTTCCTGTCCTAGCCCACAGTCATATTCATGTCTGAAGTCTACTTCTTTGTTCTAGCCTAATATTTAGATTCCTGCCTGAAATTACTTCTTTATTCTAGCTTAATGTCAGATTCCTGCTTGAAGCCCACTTCCTTGTCCTTGGCCCATGTCATATTCCTACCAAGCAGCCCATTTCCTTGTCCTCGGCCCATGTCAGATTCTTGCCAAGCAGCCCCAAAAGCTCTCCGCCTCTCCCCCTTTTTTATTTCATAAACAAGACTGAGCCTGTCTTAGGTCATTCTGCCAAGAATGTCTTCCTTACTCATTGTGGAATATGCATTATCAAAAGCAATGTACTTCTGTCTTAGGTTGTTAAGGCACTGTGCAGAATCTTACCTGTCCTTAGCTTTCCAACCTGTTAATTTAATAACTCTGTCTGGGGGTCCATTTTCAGTTTCAAGCCATGTACTTTGGCTGCCAACATGTTGATGTTGTTAAAGACAAGCTTTAACATGATGGGCAGGAATAAAAGTTTTCCCAGGACAAAAAGGTCTAGCATGATCAAATTATATATGCCATTCTTGAAGTTTGGCCAAAATAGAAATACTGACCTCAGGCCATGGGTAATTTTATCAGCAGTATCTACTGCATCAGTGCTCAGCAGAGCAGCATTCTTTAAATTCATAAGCTCACTATGCAAACTTAAAACATCCAGAGATGTGTTAGAATTATGCCATATACACTGCAATTGTCTTTATACTTTTTCCTAACTATAATGACTACCACTGTAAATTTTAGAACTAACATGAATCCAATGGTATTTGGCATGACACTCGAGATGCCTCCTTACTCTTAAACTCTGAACCTCCTTCCAATAATTTGAATAGGATAAAGAGCATCAATTCATTCTTCCAAATGACTATCTAAATCCTCTTGTATATTCAACACATTAGCAACATTTTTTGCTAAATGATTAACAAAAGTAGCTGTCTTAATTTCTTGGGTAAAAGCAATTGCAGAAGCACTAGTGCTAGCAATTAATGTAATTAAAGCTGTTGTACCAGCAATAATCAAGCCCACTACCCTCTTGCTTCTGCTTAAAGCCTGATTCACTTCTTCTAGTACTTGCAAGCTTTTTTCAGAAGACCAAGGTTCTGTGATACTCAGGACAATAAAACAAAAGCTGGTTGATAGACCTCCGTAACTGACACTGACATGCCGTGTTTCATCACACTAACAAAATTAGAAAGTGTAGAATCAATGCAACGTACATTAAGTACTGTAGAAGAAACAAAAGTAATTTTAGCTTGACAAAAGAGCCTTAACACATGTACTAACAGTTGTTTGAAATCCAGATCCTGCCCCAACTTTATCTCTTGCTAACATAACATCATAGAGAACTGCAGCTAACTTCCAAATATGTCTCTGAAAATGTTCAGATCCAGCCTTCCAAATGAAGGTTGTTATTTCCAATATTGGATTGATTTCTAGACCAGTCCCTGAATGAGTCTGAATTTAAGAAAAATACAAGAGTCATTATAACTTCTCTTTTTGATTCTCTGTTCCACAGGGTCTAAAAACTTAAAGCAAGGCAGCTTGTCCCATCAAGGGTATAGGTAAGCAAAGGTGGGTCGGGAACATTTGTCCAATACAGCTTCCCAGTCACCATTGTCAGGGACTCAGCAGGCTCACAGGTCAGTATCATTCTTTGTCCCAGCATCAGGATGTCTCACCCATTGCTCTGGCAGCCACCA